GTCATTAAGTACAGCACATGCCTGTCACTTTTACAAACATTGAAGGCGGAATTTTTAACAGAAAAATAAGTTGATTTTACTTAACATTTATGATTTATTCACCAGTGCTTTAATTAACTAAAAAAATAAATAATGAACCAAAGAAACTATTTGTTTCTAAATTTTCTGGATAATCAAAGTTGAATTTGGCTAATTCCTGTACTTTTCGTAAATATTAAGACGTAGAAGGGCTATTGCTATTGTTTTGCTAAACCAACTGAACTTCTTTACATCAGATTTTCCTTATAAAATGATCATATTATGATCATTCATGATCATATAAGCTTGAAAATGCTAGAATAAAAAAAAGTGAAAGCAAAATAATGAATCAAGAAAAGAGTTAGTAAAGAAGAGGTGGACTGTTAATTTAGGAATGCCGAGTCTATGAAAGGAGCCGCCAGGGAGGGAATTCGAAGATGATGCCCGAGATAAAGTAAACAATTAGCGACATGTCGTTGTTATTTATATAAGGACCCGAGTGGCAGGTAGCAGTCCAATCATTTGAAGCCAACATGCAAATCAGTGGGCAATTTTTAGATTCACCAAGTCCATCTCACTTATGGTACGCAGTCTATAGAGCATATGGCCACATCTTATCTATCAAATTTAATATCCTTTTTATATTAGATAGAAGTTTTCTAATTACATCTCACCACTATTTGATTTATATTTTAGTATAAAAACTGCAGTATGAAGATGTGAATGGATTAGGTGTGGAATAGAGTTGTTGCCGAACAGACCTTCACTTCACTAATGAGTTAAAAAGGCTGCAAATTTAAACGATGTTTAGATTTTTCGCTCGATAAACAACTATTGCTTGTTTATAGGTTTATTAGTTGTTTGGACCGACAGATATGATCGGACCTCACCTCTGCCATTTTTTATCCTACACTAAAATTTATGCATAAAAAAATTGTACCGTGTGAGCTCATCATCAGCAGACCTTGTCGAGAATTACAAAAAGTAAAATAATCCTCAATAATCCTTTATAATTCATCTTGCAAACCTTGAGTTTGATAAACGGCTAACATTTTATTTAATAGGTAAATCATTTTATTACCTACAACTTAACAATAATTTAAAAAAAATCGGTAAAAACCTAAAAAAAAACATGTGTAGGTAATCATATTTAATAGTGGAAATATAAGAAAAATGAAAGCAGCAAACATGTTTGAGATAAAGCGTGATATTTATTTGGCCAATAACTTTTATAATAATTGATAAACTGTCCACATTCCACGTATGGTGCATTTCTCCATTTCCATTCACGCTCCATAAATTTCTAATCATAAACCCAGCAAACTAAAAGCTTTTTGGTTCCTGATGTTATGCTGACTAGATTTGCTATTGCAAACTTATATTTATTTAAATCTAATGTCGTCTAAAAATTGTAGGAAGTGATTTATAAATAATTTGTCCATTTATTGTAAAATGCTACACCAGGACTAAGTAATGAAGACGGCATGCTTGACGATAAAATAAGTGTTTTAGCGTTGAGTGAATAGTATATATCTTAATCAATGGTTCTTCTAGTTCGCGTACGCTAAAACATTTTAAAATTTGGCTCCCACCACAACCGCCACCGTTTTCGCGTTAGACAGTGGATGGAGAAGTGCAAACACCTTTTTGGACAATCTGTATTTCTAAAATGCTTCTCTTTTAATATTATCTTCTGTATTTTAAAGCTCATAACACAAACACACCTTTTTTTATTGATGATGTGAAGTCAGTGGCACATAGTGCTAATTGTCAGGTAAAAATCCGAGCACCGGCGGCGGCGGCGGATCCGCTGGCAATACAGTGAACCTCTTTGCCGGTAGCAGTCGACATATCTATTAACACCAGGATGCCAACTGTTCCCTTTTCATCTCCCCTGCTGCTGATGCTCTGCTGCAGCAGCATGCTGCTTGCATAGATCACCTTTATTAAACCTTCTTTTTGTTTGTTTATTTTTATTATCAATGACCTTTAATTTTTTTAATTACCTTACTTCGCTTTGTGCCCAGGTAGACGATGCGTTATTAGCATTTTATTGGTGTGACGGTAGGTATAATAAAGTTGTGTGTGATGTGTGAAATTTTCGGATTTTGTTTCTGTATGTGCCCAATATGATTAACAGCTTTAAAGTTGTCTTTTTATAACAAAACTGTGTACATATTAAGTTAGCCAACTTTGATTTGGTATCATATCCGGTTGATGGTTAGACACTTATAATCCCTTTAACTATGACTTGGTCAATCATTGACATGGAAGCTTATATTCACAAGCAGTGAAATACTAATGAATTTTTTATTATTTTTAACGCAAAACTTTCTTCTTTTCGTGTACCCAGTTAGTGGCAGTTTTATTTAGTGAACGGGTAAATCGTAATGATGTAAATATTAGTGGCGGCAACATGTGTTACCATCAATATTTACTTGTCCATTAGCTCGCACTCCTTTGCATCTCGTTTTTAACGTCCCCTCCTCCCTTCTTCTACAGCAAACTCACCATTCTGATGCTTTGTGCCTTTAAATATCCACTCACTTCATATGACTCGAGTGCTGTTCCAAAAATCCATTACATTAAAGATAAAACCTTGGTAGCCTATCTGAAAACCAGATTAACTATAATCCCACTTGGAAAATTTTCCAAGGTTTCTTGAACTTCATTATGAGAAACTTCTAATTATCATTTAATTAACGGTGAAAAACTCAGGTTAAAATTGATTAAAAATTTTATTCCGGGATCGACACTTGCGGTAAGGTTGTTTATTTCTGTGATTGAAGCTGTCATCGAGCTAAATGCATTACATTAACTTTACTCTAAACACAATTCCGTTTATACGTAGACACATCAATCATCTTGCAAAACGCGTTAAATCACATTTCATTACATTACAACATTCCTATAAACAATTTGCAATCAAACATGGCAAGCATAGCTTGAACCTTTGCTGTCTATTAAATGGATTCTATTTTAAATAAATTTTAAAATAAAGATTAAGGAGAAATTTAAAACATAAAACGTTTATTTATATGCAAAATAGCTTTTTATTGATGTTCTCGTACAAAAAATATCTTCCTTCCTTAGTATACCATATACTATTCATAGTATATATAGACATGGTAGGTAATGTAGTATTTTCAGAAAAATTTTAATTGATTGAATTAAGTAGGTGAATAATTTTTATAACGATGAAACAATGATTTGGCAGTTTGCTTTTGGACAAAAGGTCCACGCCTCTAAAAGAGCCTTATTTATGAAAAGGTGACGTTTTAATTACAGAGCGACGCTTTACGTTTCAACGAAAATAGCTAATTATCATTCTTTTGATAACAATTATTAATAATATATTTCTTATAAGCCGCGGTCATCGCACAAAACAGCTGTGTCATCTTTCGAAAAAGACACTGGGGTCAATTAACTGTTCATGAGTTAATTTTTATAAATTAAGACCTCTTTGTGCAAATTTTGCAGTGCAAAATAATTAATTAGATTGGTATATTATATTATATTATACAGGGCTTCCCAAAAGTCCCAGGACGGAGCTATAACTTTTGAAGGAGTGAAGACAAAAAATTGAAAATTTGGGGATCACTATAGGTAAGGTGACCAACCGTCCTGGTTTACCTAGGACAGGTTCTGGTTTTTGCTAATGTGTCCTGGTTTCAATGGAGTACTGGTTTTGTCCTGGTTTTGCAGATTTGGTTCTGGTTTATACTATTTTTTTATTATTGACGTTATTAAAACATCTTTTTTTCAAATAATAAACATTAAATAAAATAAATTTTGTTTATTTTTTGGAAGGGCGAGAAGGGGCATGTTGTGTCCTGGTTTTTCATTTTAGAAAGTTGGTCACCTTAACTATGGGATCATAAAAACTACATTCTTAGATAGTTTAGAACTTCCATGCAACGTGAAGTTTTTTTAGGGGATGACCACCCCAACATTTTAAATAGCAAACCCTGTCGAGTTTCACCTTATTTTAGAGGTAATGAAAAAAGAAACACATCCCCATAAACGAAAACCCGATATCTTATTTCTTTCAAGTGGGAAAATAAAATGTTTTAATGTTTTTTGCAAGTTTATTACGATTTTTATAACAAATGTCAAATTGTCGACCATTTTCGATCTCGCAATGACCCAAACGCTCGTAAATGCAATTTTGAACCTTCAGGAGCATATCCAACATTAAAATATTTTATTTTCCCATTTGGTAGTCAATCCCTCATAATTCTTGAAACAATTAAGATATCGGGTTTTGGTTTATGGGGATGAAACTCGACGGGGGTTGCTATTTAAAATGTTGGGGTGGTCATCCCCCAAAAAAACTCCACGTTGCATGGAAGTACTAAACTATCTAAGAATGTAGTTTTTATGATCCTATAGTGATCTCAAATATTCAATTTTTTTCTTCACTTCTTCAAAAGTCTATAGGCTTCCCATGCATACATACATTTAACATAAAAGATATATTATCTCCACTTAATAAAATGAAATAGAAATAGTTTACTTCAATGCATCTTTATAAATTAAAAATTCTTTTTTTTCAATAATTAAAACAAATATTTATAAATATGCACAAAAAATAACAAAAACTTTTAATTGTTTGCAAACATCAAACAATTTTTTTTAAATAACATGATTTTTTGTCAATGTGGGGTAAGGTTTCGCAGAAATACCCTAAAGTAGAAATTTTTGACCTATGACAACTGACGCAAAATATGCTTGCACAGTGGGCAATAATCTTCATTCATTAAAAATTTACATTTGTGGTATTATTGATTGTGTGTACTATCATCCCCCCCAAAGGATGACAATTTATTAGGTGACACCCTGTATAGATGTATAGATTTTTTTTAAGACATTACATGATTTTAAATATTTTAGAGAGTTGTGAAAAGTAGAAAATGAATCACTTTACTATTTGTAAAACACCTAGTTAGATTATAATTTTAATTGTTTTTCTTTCTTTAAAGAAAAAGCAAGAAGACTAAGCTGCTGTGTGGGATGCGGGGGCCAAATACACGACCAGTACATTCTTCGAGTGGCTCCAGATCTGGAGTGGCACGCGGCCTGTTTGCGGTGCCAGGAGTGTAAAATGTTCCTCGACGAAAATTGCACGTGTTTTGTAAGAGACGGAAAAACCTACTGCAAACGGGATTATGTGAGGTAAGGCAGTTCCTTTATTTCCTTCAGTTATATTTACACAGCTTTACAACGTCAGGCTGTCGCTATTGGTGGCCCAGGTGTGGTGTTTTACGTTTAACACGAAGCATAGGGGGAGACACAATATTGAAATCGCGTCGAATTACCTACAGGTTTACCACACACGCTGGGTCAACTATTTTAGTGGCGACCCAAAAAAACTAGACCACTTAAATACAGATCAAACGTTTTTTCTATGCTATAGCTTAGGTTTCTTAAATATCTAAATTCCTTTAAGAAGAAGAGATTAAAATTAATTTTTCAATTTTAATTTTATAAAAGAAATATTTAAAACTTCACCTTAAAACATTATATTGTATTTTTTTAATTTAAAATTGGATTTTGAACGCTTTATTTCTTTTAATAATTTGTTCTACTCCCACCTTTAAAACGCCCTTTATTGTACATGTTTCCATGACACTAATTGACCTTTTAAATACACATTGAAAAGTTATGGCTCTTTAGTCACGTGCTGAAGTTAGCAACAGGTTTTTAGTCACGGGCTGAAGTTAGTTTTAAGTTAGTTGACAGTTGTCAAATGTCATACAATCGTTAAAATAAAGTGACTTTCTTGTAAAATAAATTATTTTAAATAATACTAAATGTGGAAATTATTTTATTATCTCAATACAAAAATACAAAAGTATTAAATAGTTTCTGAACGCCAATATTTGAAAAGTTTATATGAACATTGTACTGACCTTTTAATTTCGCCGGCAGTAAACTATCACTAGTAATACCACTAGAGGTCAAATTATTTCCGGAAATTTTTTCGAGCTCATGAATATTTTGAAAATTATCCCGAGTCGAAGACGAGGGATAATTTTCTAAAAATATTCCTGAGGGAGAAAAAATTTCCGGATTTAATTTGACCTCGTGTGGTATTCGGTAAGAAAATTCCACACCAAATTGTGTTTAAATAATTAAAATTTATTTTTTGATTTAACTTGACCTCGACTTGATTATTTAGTTACCATGGCAACTAAGTCAACCCCAACCTAAAAGTTATTTCAGTTTTGAAGCTATCAAGCGGCACGACGTAAAAAAATGTGAAATTGTCTGCTGTAATGATCAATCATCGTGCAATGACTTATTTACCCGCATTATTAGAGGATTGTGGCTCCTACTTGAAGAAAGAAAATTTGCTTTGAATTGTTCACGAATATTTGCATCTTAACTATTCAAAACTCAAAGTGCTAAATGGAAAAAAAGGTGAATAGAATAGTGTCTAAATATTATATATATTTCATTAGACATAGACATTTAATTTATTTCAAGTCCTGCATTTTCGCCATTAAGAAGAAAGGAGGTGTCCAACGAATATAGAAAACATCTAAACTTTGTAATGGAAATGTATCAAAATTATCATGTAAACAAATAAAAACCAGATTGTCAAAAAAATATTCTGTCATTATAAACGTCAAAAAATTTCCAGTATAATTCGCTGTTGGGTACCCACGAGGAAAAAATGTCCACTAAAATTCAACCGTTGCCATGGTGATCTATCAAAAATACACGTTTTGATTGGTTAAAAATTACAGGTGTGGAATTTTCACTTAAATTTGGGCACGGACTCTACTGTAAAGTCCTCATAAAACATTTGCTTTACTTTCACTCTGAAAAACTGTCAATTTTCAAGAAATACATTTCGATTTATAACCTTTATAATCTGTGTTTATAAAATATAAAAATTTGACATTTGACGGTGACACACAGATTCCCCTATTGTTTCATAGATGACGCTCTATACAAATTTTTGATTTAAATCATTTTAAGATAATAATAAGTATTTGTCATAGAAATAGTATATTATACACCTCGTTTATAAATTTTTCTATACACTCATTAATTTAAGCACTCGCTCGCAAGCTCGCTCGTGCCTAAATTAAATTCGTGTATAAAATGGCGTTTATCAAACTTGATACATAATATACTATTATCTACTCCTACATTGACGAGCTGTGACTTTATAGCATTTTAGTCAAGGGTAAAGTTGAAAACAGTGGCTTTTAAGCTTTTTAGCTTTATTATATATTGGAAAAAAGTGAGGTTAAATTCGAGTGACAGTTGACAGATGTAAAATTTTAAACCAAATAAAATTGGCTTCAAATTCTGTTTTGTGTTCGTCGTAGATAAAGTATACTATGCAACTCGTTTATAAACTTCTCTAGACACTCGTTTTTATTAAACACTCGCTGGCAAGCTTCGCTCGTCCTTGATACATAACTAATAATATTACAAAAATCACAACCCGGATTAGGATTTCAACAAAACATTAATTAAAATTGTAAAAAGAGATTACTTTTGAGTAACAGTATATTTTACCAATACTTTCAACAATTTTTGAACCGTAGAAAATTAATATAAATTGATTAAACTTCTAAAATACTACCAAAAACTTTAATTGAAGCCCTCAATTAATTCTGTATTACCAATATTGCAAAACGCTATATTTCATGTTTAAGTATACCTACATTATACAATATACTTAATATATTAATACTAGTTACTAACTAGTAGTTAGAGTGCTATTAATAATATCTCATGGCGGATGACCTTGGGTGCGCAAAAGTATCAAATCCGTCAAATAGCGCTATTACTCGCCGACCTAAAAACTACTACATAGGGTTGACAATGCTGATATTTATTGACTTATTTAGAAAAATTTCTAGGCTAGAAATTCTATTATATTTTGTTATAATATTATAGCGTCTCTCAAGGTCAACCGCCATGAGATATTATTATCACTCTAGTAATCATCGTTTTTTTTATTAAAATTTAAAGATTTCTTTTTTCTTTCCAGATTGTTTGGTACAAAGTGCGACAAGTGCGGCTCGTCGTTCAGTAAAAACGACTTCGTGATGCGCGCCAAAAGCAAAATCTACCACGTCGAGTGTTTTCGGTGCTGCGCGTGCGCGAGACAGTTGTGCCCGGGCGACGAGTTCGCGCTACGCGACGGCGGCGCCCTCTACTGCAAAGAGGACCACGACGTGATGGAGAAGACGGCCCAGGCGCAAACGGGCGCCGCCACTGCGCACGTGGCAGGCGCAGGAGAAAGCAACAACAACAATAGCATCAACAACAACAATAACCATAGTAATAATTCCACGGAACTGGGGTGTATGTCAGGTAAGAATATAATTCTAGGACAACTTTAATTTGGCAAAAATAACATGTTGAGACTAAAAACGTAATTGATGTGTATATGATATCTATAAACGCAAAAATATATATACATATAGGCAACAGATTTATTCAACGACATTTTTATTGCACCTTATTGATGTGCAGACATTTATCAGTAGTCGTCATTTCGATTACTTTTTGCCAAAGTATCGCAAGTAACATAACCCAAATTTCGGAAACTGAAAACATTTTGCTTGTCTGTTTTAAATTAAATATAGCCTAAAGGTTTTATAATAAGTAATTACTTAGCTTATAATTGTAGCTATTTACTTGTTATAAAACCTGTAGGTGATATTTGGTTTAAAACAGACTTTAAAACAAAATTGTTTTCAATTCCCAAAATTTGAGTTATGTTGCTTGCGATACTTTGGCAGGAAGTGATCGATTTAATAATGTAAAATATCCATTTTTGAATACCATTGATTTTGACTTTTTTTTTTCGTTTTCCAAAATTACTTTTGAGTGAAATATGATGATTAAAAAAATAACTTAATAATTAAACCTTTTTTAACGCAAAAAATTTATTATGGAAGCTTTTTCCTAAAACTCATGTTTTAGTCTATAGCTTCTTTCTACACTGCGCGTCAAATTTAACGCATAATAAGTAAAAAAAAATTTAACTCTAAAACGCCTTTACTAATCTTTATGAAATTTTGTATAAAAACACTTATATCTCAGTTTACATATTCGAGAGTTTTTCGAGAAAATATTTTTAAAGCCCTTTTATTTAATAATAAAAAAACGTTTGAAAAATAACTTTTAGGGAATTTTTTTTTAAGTAAATAAAAAATATGTTGTGAAATACCGTATTTTTGTTAGTATACCCTGAAAATCAAACGAACAGTAACGAAGATACAGTGCTTCAAAATCGGTAAAAATGACCCCTTTTTGATTATTTTGCTGAAAAGTGGTCATTTTTGACGACTTTAAAGCGCTGTATTTTCGTTACTGTTCGTTTGATTTGTACAACATTTTCAGGGTATACTTATTACTTATACAAAAATACGGTATTTCACAGCATATTTTTTATTTACTTAAAAAAAATTCCCTATACAAGTTTTTTTATTATTAAATAAAAGGGCTTTAACGATATTTTTTTTAAAAGGGCTTTAACGATATTTTCTCATAAACCCATTGAACACAAACTGAGATATAAGTTAAAGTATTTTTATCCAAAATTTTATAAAGATTGGTAAAGGCGTTTTAGAGTTAGATTTTTTTTACTTATTATGCGTTAATTTTGACGGGCAGTGTATTTAATGAGCTACATATGATAAACTCTAGAGAGTACATTGAAGTAATTTGTAACCATCATTTAAGAATGCAAACTATCCTTATAAATGCCGTTTTTGAATGTCAATGATTTTTTCAAGCTAATGCTGTTAAAATTAATCTTGGATATTGGACATGGAGTGCAAAATTTTGTGTAGTACGCGTTACTATCCTATCATAGGTGGCGTTTTTTATATTTCAGTCGGTGAAACAGCCGTTAGGTAGGTACTACTAAAATTAAAATGTTGAGGGCATACTACGGAAAAAATGTAAAGTTTGCAAGAAAGAGTGAATAATAAATGTTTTAAATTTAAATATTGTCTTATTATAGAACGACATTTAATGTAATTCTTAATAAAACATGATCTTAAAACATTTCTTGTCGATTTGAGGGCATTTCACCGACAAAGTCTTTAAATTGCTCCCCATATAAGACCTCTCCGAGAAGATAAATAAATTAATTTCAAAATTCACACAGCCTAGGTATGCACCACCGTTAACGGCTTTTTTCCTCTTTTAATTAGGTGCTAATAATAATTACAATTACTCAGGCTTTAGATATTATCCGCTCTTTTCACACAATAGAAGAGATATTGCACTATTATTAAGAACACACTTTTGCAATTTGTTCGCTCTAATGATGTGCCGCTCAGATTAATTTTTAGTTGCGCATGTTTTCTTTTCTTTTTACACTCCTGATTTATTGTTGTTGGCTATTTTAAAATGTACAGTTGGCTATTTTAAAATGTACAGTTAAATTTCTTCCTTTTTAGCAATCTTATAATAATAATAAACTACTATATTTGTGGCATTACATTTTATTTTATTCATTTGTATAAACTGTGTAAACTTTTCTATTTTGACAGTTTTTAATTGATTGCTTTAAAATTTTAACTCAATAGACATTAGACAGATAAAGCTTTACGTTTAGTAAATTTTATTGAAATGTTCCTTAATTTTTTTTAAACACAATTTTTAAAGGGCCTGCTTATTTTTTATCGATAAAATAGTAATTATTTATATACTCCTTTTCCATAATATTGGGTTTTTTCTGTGAATAATGATAAACATTATAAATTTCCTGCCTAACAACGGGATTAAGGAACTCATTATTCAGGTTGTTAGGCATCAGTAGTTGTCCGATTTCAATATTCACTTTAATTTGAACCAATCGTATTTTAAATTTTGAGAAGGCGACTATAATAACATTTAAAATTGGTAAAAAGTGAGGTTAAGCATTTGACAGATGTCAGTTTTTATTTTTATTTATTTTTGAAAATCATTGCGTACCTACATAGCAACGAATGTAAATTAATTTTATCTACTCCTTCATTGACGAGCTGCGACTTTATGGCGTTTTAGTCACGGGCTGAAGTTATCAACAGTGGCTTTTGGGCATTTTAGTCACGGGCTGAAGTTAGCTTTATTATAAATTATTGAAAAGTGAGGTTAAATCCGTTAAAAGTTGACAGATGTCAAAAGTTTAACAAATAAAATTGGCTTTAAATTCTTCTTCGTGTGCGTCGTAGATAAAGTATAGTTATAGTCCTTCGGAGGGGACTTTAAGCCCGCGGTCCGTTCCTACCCCTAACTCGCACAAGCCATTCAGTTGGCTTATGGGACTTCTTAAGAAGCAAGGGTGGAACTAAAAGAGCACTTTTGTAACTCGTTTTATAAACTTCTCTATACACTCGTTTTTATTAAACACTCGCCTGCAAGCTTCGCTCGTGCCTAATAAAACTCGTAACTAAAATAGCATTTATAAAACTTGATACATAATATACTATTACGTTATGTAGAAAATAAAACTGTTCTTTTAACAGTTAATAAATATAATGTAAAAGTTAACCTATTAAGCAGTTAAAAAAAATGTTTACAGCCTAGGCTGAAAACGTTTTGCCGACCCTGGACGCGACACGAACTAAAATCTTCTAAAGACAAATCATTGGCACTCCAGGCATTTAAAAATCTCATCATTCTTAATAATTCCCACCGGATGCATTTTTTTTCATTTTTACATTTTTTGGCCATAGCAATAATTGAAAAAACTTAACACGGCAATGTTGGGACCATAGCTTCCTTTGAAAAAAGTATTTATAATAGATAAATGTATTTCTTTTTTACCTTGTTTAAGTGTATGTTACAGTCAAAAACTATAATCCGGCCAATACATTACCAAGAAACAAAAGTATTTGTTGGAATTTGGAAACTTAAATGAAAAGAATTTTGATAATAAATGTTGCTTTTTGAATCAATTTACTGAATAAAAAAATTAACAAATACCTACATAAATGAACACAAAAATATCATTCACACCATTCTGAAATCATCAAATTATAAATAAATTTGGTACAATATAACTATCACTGATAGTATACTACAACACCTACTGATGTATTTCGTAACTTTAGCCCACTTCACTGTATCCCCTAATTTCAGTTTTTTTGGATATTTCGCACTTTGCACTCTCGTTAAATAGTGATAAGGATCCGAAAAACAATAACAGATTTTTGGTAATATATTATGAACACTCCGGACAGTTGTTACGAACACGTTACGAATTAGAATAAAGTAAGCAGAAACATAAGCTGCAGACGCTAAAGTCCGTTGTACTTGTTATGACGATAAAAAAATCAGTGGGAAATGTTTTGATTGGCTGCCTAAAGTTACGTCTACTTTTTTAATCAAATAATTTCTTAAACATTAACATTTGAAATTAACAAAATGCTTACAAAATTGCATATTACCTTTACAAAACCTTTGGTAAAATGTTTTCCTTTATTAAAATAATTACAAACCCTGGTTTTCAACAAAAATATCCAAAAAAGGAAAAATGGTCATTGACCGGCCATTATTGTCAATGTCCAAAATAATCTTCGTCCTTAACATATAAATACATTATAATAGGTATACCATTCAGTCAAAGATTAAATATACTCTTTCTCCGAAGAAAGAGTATATTTAATCTTTGATTCAGTTTAAAAATATATACTATATTTTATGTTAACACTTTTCAATCTTTACAATATTTTTCAAATCACCGATTTTTATATTACACCGCGTGTTTCACACGTGAAAAAATATCAATTTTTAAGTTTAGCCGGCAAAGTAAAAATCTGTGTTTGATAACCGCCCGCGGTAACAGCTATTGGGGGAGCCTTAAGGGTTGTAATTAAATACTTTCAAAAATGGCGAATGCGCCGGGATTAACTGAGGGTCCCAATTTACCCCCCTTAAGGAATGGAGATAAGCGTGGATAAGCCTGGAGAATACGTGCACGTATTATGCCCATGGGCATAATTTGGTGACGATACATCAAACTGAGCATATTTATATTTGGGATAAAAAGGAACCTGGTTTTACAGTTATAGATTTAAATAAACCTATTTGCTGCCACCAAATGGAAAGTAGGTGAAAAATTTGGTGATTTGAATGGACAAAATCCTAGTTATTTATTTATGGTAAAGATAAGTGGCGCATGTGCCCAAAATGTAAACAGCTAAATAATTTCTTATCCAGTCAAACGCTCAACATCCAAGCAGCCGCATGAACTAGGCAGCATGATCACACATCGAGATTTTTTGTAATGTTTCAAATACTCAAAATTAACAATTTAAACGTACAAATGCATATACAAAAATAATTATTATAAAATAAATTAAAAAAGGTAT